TGCTGCTATGATTAATTTTTGCACATCCCTACTCCAACGTCGAAATCGACTAAAACTTCATGCACCTTAACTGAATAAATCTGAATATCTATACCTGTAGGTTGTGCTTTAGACCCTGCTGAAGCGGAAGACTATCCGTGGAGGACAAAGAATAGGAATCGTATCCGGCGTCGTAATGACCGCTGCTGCTGCTAGATAATTCTCCGGATTTACTCGTCGGACTCTTGGGCACTCCGGAGTTTCTCTGCATTTTGTTCACGATGTACAGATACGGATTGTCCATCGTTGTCGAGGAGCTCGAAGAGGCGCTGTTCCGATCGCCGGACCAATTTCCGGAATCCCGTCTTCGCGGCACGTTCAAGTGATCCGGAATGCTAATGCCATCCTGCGGCGACGAGCCTGCGCTGAGGCTGCGCGTCAGCTGCATCTGTTGCTTCTTCTGTTGCTGCATTACGTTCTCCACTGCTCGTCGGCTGATGTACTTGGACTCCACGTCGCCGTCGACTGCGTCCACACCCTTCGATGGGACAAAAGACAACACCCGTGAACGATCTATTCTTTAATCTACCAGGTATAGAAAATTGTAATGTCAGTTTGTTTCTTTGTTCGTGGTTAAAGTGAAAATGTTTCTCGATGTAAATATTAAACTTTGTTTTTTTTTCCTTTTTTTCTGGATGGAGATAAACTCTGATCGGCACGCCGTTGAACAGCTTATGCTGCCTTATATGGCGCGAAAACAAACTCGCAGAAATTATGCATTGGCCTTTTACGTGCCACAATTTATTGACGTTTACAATGAAGAAGCAAATACAGTAAATTCTCCCTAATCGACGCTCAGATTTTACACGAAAATGGACAATTTGGGGAATCGGAGCCTCGCGGCTCGTTTTTATAATTGAGCCGTTTATTTTGAAAGTGGCATAAGTCACCTTACCGTAATGAAAAGTGGCGATTTTTTAATAATGTTTATACGAAATTATTTATACCGAGAAAAATATCAGTATCCTGAGACAACAAATACAAGTAAATCTTCTCGAAAGTTAGCATCCGTATTTTTAAACGTGTTAAAACGCAAACCCTTAAATATATCGACTTAAAAACAAAGTGACTTATGCCACTTTCAAAATAAACGGTTCAATTGTTGAATAATCGCACCTCCTATTCCCATTTGTCCCATATTGTCCATTTTTGTGTACCATCTGAGCGCGTCGATTAGGGAGAATTTTCTGTACATATTTATTAAGAAAATACCGTAATGAATGATACATTTGGGAAGGCAAGGCTGCACTGTTAAAATAACTTTCTGCGACCCCTAAATGTAACACTTCCATCAATGTATCGAGTATTACACTGCGACGTGTAAAATTAGCAAATGGGCGTAAATGCAAGATTGCTTGGAGAGCTCAAGGAATCATTTCAAAATTAGAACATCATTCTGAAGTAACAAGTATCCAAAACTTGAGGTAACAAATGTGGCGTGACTGACGTTAATTGGTCGGTTAATGTTTATAGAACATCTTACTTGATTGCCGAAAATGTTATTTTGTATGTCAGTCAGGTTCTGGTAATCGCTGTAAATTCGGCGCTGCGTGTAAAAATGAGGAGGACTATCTGGATTCGGTGTGATGGCACGTCTGGCAGTGCTGTTGATCGATGGCTTCTCCGGGCTCGGGGTGATCGATCGTCGAACATTATTCTTCGGCGGCGTCTTCAAACCATTCCCATTTGGGAACGGCGTCACTGTTTTAGGAGCGTTTTCCGTGTTAACCGGCGTTCCGCCAGGAGTGGCGTACAGCAGAAGCAATGGTTGATATCGACCCCTTCTGCATTTCTCCACGACCTGCTCCCAACGCGGACCGATTTCTTTCACGGTGGCATCGTCGAAGTAGATCCACACCTATCAACGAAATGAAATTGTTGTAGAGGTATTGACAAATTGTTGTATAACGATTACAGATTTATTCTTATAATTACAGTAATGTCTCTCTAACGGACGCTCGGATTGTCCACAAAAATGGACAATTTTGGGAGAGGAGATACGATTGTTCGAGCCTCGTTTTTTATTATATATTTTTATTATATATTATATTTATATATTTTCGTGGCTCGTTTTTTATGGCTATCGATTGTCAACAACTATAAAAACGAGCTGCAAGGCTCGAACAATCGTATCTCCGCTTCCCAAATTGTCCATTTTTGTGCAGAATCTCAATTAGGGAGAATTTACTGTATTTTCTGTAACTTATATGGTTTGGATATGGATATTCGTCTAATGGCTCGCAACCTAATCATTAAGTTAGTGCCAATAATCTTCAATTATGAAGAACAATATAACTATATATATTATATATATATTATATATATTTATTATTTATATTATATTATTATTATATTAATTAATATTATTATATATATATTATATTTTATATTATTATATATTACTAAATTATATATATTACTATATTTCCGGTAACTTATGGTTTGGATATATATATATATTATATATAACAATATTGAAACTACATGCAACTCGTTGAACAGTTTTTGCGGACGAAGGAAATATTTACGCGAACATTAGCCAATAAATTTGAGACGGCAGGTATTGTTAAATAAATTGTTTATGTGCGAGTAAAAGTATATGTTAACCTTTAATTTAGTGTGGAAGAAGAAGGTGGAATAGTGTTTCCCGTAATATGTGACCACTCCAACGAGATTGTGCACCGTTGAAGCACCCCATCGGGAGTCGACCACACTGTGGAAAACGTCGCTCAGCCGTAGAGACGTTCCCACGGTTGCGAAAACATCCATAATGTGTTCCAACGATGGCCGTTCGCTATCCCATACAACCCCGACGGAAACGATTTCCGGTCGATTCATCAATGTCCTGCAAATTTGGATTTTGGCACCGCAGGAACTCTGGAAATGTTCGAAAATACCATTCTCTGTTAGAATCGCACCACGCCTGAAGACTAGAATCAAGTCTACAAACTAAAGAAGATTTCAGCATTTCTTTTACTTATTTTCAGATTCATGAAATTTAACCGAAGATACAAGAAATATTTAGAGAAGAAATATAAAATGGATAAAATATAAATATAAAATATTTCGACAAGAAATATTCATTTCCATTCGTGAAGAATGATAACGATCGAGAAAAATCAAAACTTCAATACGCTATTTGAACAAGCGATTTTCTTTTCCAATTTTCTTTTCCATCTTTGAATCTTCTTTTCTTTTCTTTTTTCTTCTCCATAGAATTTGGAAATGATTTTCTTGTATTCTTTAATTAATAAACATATGTATACATCTTTGTAATGTATTGTTTATTCGTAGGATTGTTTCCATCTCCTCAACATGGTCGAAAGTCAAGAAGAAAACTATAGGTTGAATATTTTTCCGGGGACCATTTTTTATGTTATCAAAATCCAGCTTATCATGATCACAAAATCAAGATATTTCTTCTAAATTATGCCTACACATTAACAAATGGAAATTAGACCGTGGTTCCTTATTTATGATCTACATTTTCAAGGAATACTCTCGCATAAAGTGCAATAATAAATTGCAATTTTCATCCATTTTTTATCCAGAAGAGCTGACGCCGATAAAAAATAATACTCCACCGAATTCTATTTTCTTAATAATTCGAAGAAAATTGCACGAACATCCGGAAGTTGAGAAATTATCGTGCAATTTAAAACAGAAACAAATGAATCGTGTATTAACCAGAGCGAAAATATCGTTCGATTTATTCGCCGTGAAAAAAAGTCACACGAATGACTTTTTGGTCGCTCTGAATTCCAATGGAATGTCAATCGTCCCCGAATACCCAAATACGCAGGATTACTTGTCGGTAGGTGGCACGTTCTACTTCAAAGAGAAAGTCCACACACTCGAAGACTATACATCTCAAGTAGGGCTTGGGGGACGAGGGCACCTGATCTCGTCCACCGGACGAGTAAAAACTCGAGTCTCTGGGAGACAGTGTTTTCAAGATGTAAGCCTATGATAACCCCCGTGCGGGGGTTATCCTAGGATTCGTAAATATCGGCGTTACTTACCGGACAGTCTCGTATGTCGCCCATGCCTCCAGCTTTTCGGAGAAGTTGTCCGAAAAGGTCCGGACTGTTTCGAGAATTCGGTGCTGCTTGTCTCGCTTGCGAAGTTAACGCTGATGCCGAGACGTAATGGACCATCTGTGAAATCAATCGGCTCGAAATTAGAATCGAGAAAATTAAGAGCATTGCCGAAACCTTGCTAAGGGTGGCCCTTCGGAGCCATATGGTTTTATGACAAACAATTAGATAGCATTCGCTTCAATTCTTTCGCGTCAATTTCATACATATTTATACTTATTATATTCATTATTATATTCATATATATTATAATAATAATAATAATATATATATAATAATAATAATAATATAATAATAATATAATATATATAATAAAATATATATATATTATAATAATAATATAATATAATATTAATATATATATATTAATAGAATATAATATTCATATTATATTCATATATATATATATATATATATATATTATTATATTCATACATATTTATGAATCTATTTTTACGAGATCAATATACATTCTCTCTCTCTCTCTCTCTCTCTCTCTCTCCCACTCTTTCTTGCAAATTCGCTCGTGTAGAATCTAAAATCGTCGATCTCATAGACAATTACGGCGGATATTTTCTAGCACAAGAAAGAAATTCATTGCCCTTTCGAGCACGTACACGGCACGCCGGTCCGCATAATCGTGTGCAGAGCACAAACACCTCACGTGGGTGGAGTTGTCCACCACCCCTCTCCCCCCTACCCGCCCTCGTGTACTCGTAACGCCGTTGTCGGCCGATTGTAAAAACGCGAAACTCGTTGCAATCTCGTATCGGTCATGGCCGATCGGTTTTACCGTCTCCGACCGACTGCTATATTCGAACCCCCGATTCGGAATAAGAGCGAAAATGGTTTTGAAGTGGTTCGATTCAAGGAACGAGGATCGGAAGAAAATCGCATCGAAACGTTCGCGAGATTCCGCAACCATGATTGTCCATTCGCATTAAGATCAACCCTTTGCACTCGACTGGCGACTCCGAGGCACCGATAAAAACTGTTGCGTCACGTTTCAAAATAATTTTATTAATCAAATTTGTTTATATCTAATGTACCGATTTAAAGTACACCGAATTTCTTTCTTGTGCTAGAAAATATCCGCCGTAATTGTCCATGGGATCAACGATTCTGGGTTCTACGCGAGCGAATTTGCAAGAAATTGATTTTAAATTATACGGAAGTGTTAAGTTTCAAGTCTGAAACTTATCGAAGTGATAAAATATTTAGTAATTATATTTTCAATTCAATTTCATATGTTCGAAATGCATTAAGTTGTATAAAATGGAAATACCATGGGTCAGAAAAACTATATTAAATTTTACGTTAATTTGGCTTCGAGTGCAAAGGGTTAATTCGAGCTAGTTTGCTTCTTACGATAACGACTCCTTTGTTTATTAGCGCTAATCTAACGATTAGATTGCGAGGCTTTAGATGAATATGCATTTTCATAGTATATTTTGTAAAATAGAAGTGGACCGACGTTCCTCGAACAAAAATTAATTAGTACTCAGTCTTCCATAAACATCGACATAAAAAATATATAATAACCTTATTAAATCCTCGCCGGCAAAGAGTTATCAATTCCCTTCAGCTGTACGATAATGTCTTCCTAATTGACGCTCAGATTGTCCACAAAAATGGACAATTTGGGAAGAGTAGATACGATTATTCGAAGCTTGCAGCTCGTTTTAATAATTATTGACGATCGCCAGCTATAAAAAACGAGCCGTAAGGCCCGAAAAATCGTGTCTCCTCTTCCAAAATTCTCCATTTTGTTTTTGGACAATCTGAGCGTCAATTAGAGAGAGACATCACTGTATTCCTAAAAGCCGATTTACAATCCTCGATATTATACGTTGCGCAACATCGATCATCGCAATCCTGCGAAATATTAAAATTCGACAGACGTCTCCTCTCGAGTCAGTCATTCGAGGACACTGCATACTATAATCTTCGCTCTTAGTAGCCAATAAAAATCGCCGCGCGGATAGCTTGCGGCTCGCACAGGCACGGAGCGTGTTTCTTGCGAAACTTTCCATCAGGCTTCAAGGATAGAGCAGGAAATAGTTTCTCGAGAGAGATCTTTTCTCTGCGACCACCGCAGCATCTGTCGACGCGAATTTCCTACGCTCGACAAAGCCGCGAGCCGCGGCTTTTCCGTTTCCCAGGTAGCCGGGACAGGTGAACAGAGAAAACGACCGTGAAAGATCTCGAAACCGAGCTGCGAAACGAAAAGGCGGATTCTTTTGTTCGCCTGTCCGGGGATCTTGAAATCGTCCTTGAAGAGGGTGGTTCGGGTAGCCCGCAGGCCAGGAAATGGGGGAGGATCGAGGAAAGTTTGGCCTCTTGGCAGGTTTATAAGCGACTTAGCTAAGAAGCCTAAGCGCTCTGAGGATATTGAAGAGGGAAGTCGCCGCCATGTAAACGGATTAGGCTGATCGGGATTTGATGGTTCGTTAATCGCGATCGATTGGCTTCGAATTCTACGAAGATAGAATTTCGGGGGAGCATGATGATCGAGTGAATTTAACATTTTTGCTCTCGCGATCATTCCGACTTTAATTCTCTATTCAAAAAGAAAACATTCCATTTCATTTTTTTATATCGATGTTTATGTATATATGTGTATTTATAGGCGCAGGATTTTAGGAATACAGTAATGTCTTTCTAATTGACGCTCAGATTGTCCAAAAACAAAATGGAGAATTTTGGAAGAGGAGATACGATCTTTCGAGCCTTGCGGCTCTTTCTTTATAGCTGCCGATTGTCAATAATTATTAAAACGAGCTGCAAGCTTCGAATAATCGTATCTACCCTTCCCAAATTGTCCATTTTTGTGGACAATCTGAGCGTCAATTAGGGAGACATTATCGTACAGCTGAAGGGAATTGATAACTCTTTGCCGGCGAGGATTTAATAAGGTTATATATTTTATATAATTTATATAATTATAATTTTTTTATATAATTTTTTTATATAATTATATAATTATAATTATATATTTTTTATATCGATGTTTATAGAAGACTGAGTACTAATTAATTTTTGTTCGAAACGTCGATCCACTTAGAAAGAAAGCGCGATCAATTGAGACTCGAAAGATATTAATTGTTAATTATACGAAACGTAGGCGATTCTCCTTCGCCGATTGTATATTAACGTCCGAATAAATTCTGAGCAGCGTTTCTTATAGACAACGGCATTTTTAAGTACGAGAAATTGAAAAATGGACAATTTGGGAAGAGGAGGTTATATTATTATTATTATATATTATTATTATTATTATTCGGCTCGTTTCTACAGTTACCGACAGTCAACAATGACAAAAACGATTTTTCGAGTCTTGAGGCACGTTTATACAGTTATTCGATCGTCGACAATTATAAAAACGAGAGGCTCGAATAATCGTATTCTCCTCTTCCAAAATTATCCATTTTCCGTGTACAATACGAGCGCCAATTAGAGAGACGTTACCGTGCATAGTTGCGTTCAAATGGCCAATATCGACGCATGGTACAATTCGCAATAGAAAGTTGTGCAAGTACAATGATTTTTTACTCGTAAAATCGAAGGCCAAGAAGTGACTTTCGATCCGCCGAGAACTATGACTCAGTCCTGTACTAGCATCATTCGCCGAGCCCGCGCGATTTCAAACGGTTTAACCGTCATCAATCTCGCGTTTACGATTCGCGTCGCGACCAGCGTCGACTCTGTTTAAACTAACCTGTGTAAAAGGCAGAGGTTCCGAGGTGGCGCCACAGGCGCCGCAGACGCTTTGCTCGACGAGCGTCATGGCGAACTTCTGGTGCGGCACGCAGTGTCTCGCGCTGCACATGTCCTCCGCCTCCCCGTTAGCGATGTGAAGATGTATTCGCAGAAGGATGTTTTCCTGCAACGGGATTCCGTTAATACGACCACGTTCATTAGCTTGCTCCGCGTGTAATAGCTAAGAATAGAGAGGATTCGACGGTGATCGCGGATCGATTACAGTTACGCGGAAAGATACGAGGATTATTATCGTTTCATTCTGATGAGCTTCGTTTCCTTGTGATTTCTTACGCTTTTTGCAATATTATCCTGCAATTATCGCAAAGGACCCTCTATTCGCGATCTCCGTCTGTTTCCACGCATTCCTGCGACACTGTTGTATTTTGTAATCCGATCTACTCGACTTTTTTTTTTATTTTATTTCTTTCAAGCGTGTGTTTTTATTAAATATACGCACGTAATTTCTTTTCAGCTTGTAGGAATATTGGGGTTATGTATATACAGGGTGTTCAAGAAAAACTGTTCGATATTTGTATGGTGTATAGGATACGTTGTACCGAGTGAACGATAATGGAGATATCGCTTTGTAACAGAGTTACTAAGATACTCCCCTGTATATAATAAAATTGTGGTACTTCCTGGAAATGAAGGGTTCCCGAGGTCATTTGAAGCAACTCTTTCCTCAGCGAAAATGTTCTACGAGGCTTCGTTCACGAGTTATTAGCGAAAAACGCTGACCAATGAGAAGCGAGCTCTGGCTGGCGCGTGACGGCCGAGCCAATGAGCGGAACTGAGCTGCCTGGCGCCAGCCGAGCTCGCTTCTCATTGATCAGTGCATTTTTGTTAATAACTCGTGAACGGTGCCTCGGAGAACATTTTTGTAAAGGAAAAGATTGCTTCAAATGACTTCAGGATAATTTTGAGACACCCTGCATACGCAATACTGCGACTATAATGTAATGTGAGCACTCGATCAAATGGTCTGTGCTAATCCTGCAGATTTATTGACTATTATGCGGTGTAAGAGTGGGTATAAATTTCTCTCTCCCTCTCTCTCTGTCTCTCTTTCTCCCTCTCTTTCACTCTCGCTATCTCTATATGTATGCTAAATGTCTCTTAGTGTCTTTCTCTGTCTTTTCGTCACTCTGTCTCTGTTTCTTTGCCTCTCTCTCTCTCTCTCTCTCTCTCTCTCTCTCTCTCTCTTTCGCTCTCTCTTTCACTCTCGCTATCTCTATGTGTATGCTGAATGTGTCTTTTTCTGTCTTTTCGTCTCCCTATCTCTGTTTCTTTGCTTCTTTGCCTCTCTCTCTCTCTCTCTCTCTCTCTCTCTCTCTCATTCTCTCTCCACGTTCCCCTCTTCGTCACNCTCTCTCTCTCTCTCTCTCTCTCTCTCTCTCTCTCTCTCTCTCTCTTTCGCTCTCTCTTTCACTCTCGCTATCTCTATGTGTATGCTGAATGTGTCTTTTTCTGTCTTTTCGTCTCCCTATCTCTGTTTCTTTGCTTCTTTGCCTCTCTCTCTCTCTCTCTCTCTCTCTCTCTCTCTCTCATTCGCTCTCCACGTTCCCCTCTTCGTCACCCTTTCGACATCCACGCCGACCGCGTCCGAGCGGCGATTTCCTCGGCAGCGTAAAAGCGATTTTCCAAGCGGTTTGCGATCCTGAATATTCCGACAGCGAAACGAGAACCAGTTCTCCGTTATAATTGCCAACTACATTGCACGATTGCCTCAACGTTGCCTATCCCACTATCCACGTAGGTGAGCCAAAGCAAATACAAACCCCAATGCGAACGACGACGACGACGACGACGACGACGGGAGTTCACTTTCTCGTTTACACGAGGACCGTAATTACTTGCACGGGTGCACGCGTGTGCGAGCGAGCGTGTATGTGTGTGCGTGTGTGTGTGTGTGTCGACACCGGTATGTTGAATAAAATGAATGTTACGTTTTACGAATGCAGCCGCGCGCTGCGTGACTGTAATCAATCTAAGAACGCCTTAGCGATCGCGCCCCGCTCCGTTATCTACGAATGCAGGAACACGCTGCTCGAGTTGCGCGGGTTGTGCAATTAACAGAAATTAAGCGCTTTGTTCGGTCGGTCGCGTTGTTCCGCCGGTCGGATAATCACTACGGTCCACGATCGTGGTCGAGCCGCAACGTGAACTTCTTTCAATAACACTCGTTAACACGTTCGCTAACACGTGCGAACATATATATAACGGCTGACGCTATTTTTTATTGTCATTCGTGTTTAAAAGTTCAGCTTGAACGATGTAACATGTTTATTACGTATACTCATTTAGGTGTTGCTGAATCTATTGGGGTTGGAACGGTAATTAATATTAATATTATAACTTAATTATAATTTAACCATAATTTAATCACAATTGTATCAGAATTTTATCAGAATTTTACCCCAATTTAATCACAATTGTATCACAATTGTATCAGAATTTTATCACAATTTAACCACAATTTAATCATAATTGTATCAGAATTTTATCACAACGTAATCACAATTTTATCACAATTTAACCACAATTTAATGATAATTTAATTATCATTATATTATGATTATTATTATATCATTATAATTAATAATAAATTATATATTTTTTTATTATATAAATGATATATTATATAGTAATAATTAATATATTATATATTAATATTATATTATTATAATTATTTTATTATAACAAACGGTTATTAATATCATATTAAATTTTAACTTTTTAATCGCGATTCAGTTAATGAAATTATTACGCTTGCGTTCATTCTATCTGATTTTTTATGCAGACACGTTATCGATAAGTATTATTAAGAAACGATTGTAACTGTAAATCATGTAACGGGACAGAACAGTATGTGATTTAACGAGACTGCAATTTGTAGAATGTCGGAATGATGAACAGTAACAGAGAGAATTTATAAATATTTTCGAAATCAGAAAATTCAGTCGTTATTAATTATAAATTATTTGCAAAGTGTGATGAAAATTCCAAGTTGTAGCTATATGCGAAGTTACAAGTTGAAGTCAGAATTAAATTTTGGAAGAAACTTTTGCAAGAAAGTTTTGCAAGAAAATTTTGCAAGAAAATTTTGGAGGAAAATTGATTTATGGTGGCCTTGATTTCGATTTCAAGTCATTTATTATTGTACTAAAATAGTTATTGTGTTTCAACAGGTGTACGAAAACTTTTGCGGGCGACCGTGTATCCGCAGAAAACAGGTCTATACTCTTATGTACTTATTCACCAATATCCTAATTCAACAAATTGAATAAAAATAAAAAAAAGTCTATCAACATTCTAGGTCGAAACGAAATTGCGAAGCGGTTGCTGGACACCGGACCGAAACCCGTTTTACCTAGATTCGCCGGAGTTGCGTGTCGCCGGAGACGCACATAACGGGCCAAAGGGAACGAGGTAATTGATACTTACGAAACATTCCGCCGCATCGTCCATGAATCCAAGTTGGAACCTTTGTTGATCGAGAAAACTCTCGGCGAGAGCTCGTCGAAGAGTGTCAGGAGGCAGGGCGCTCTCTTGCGAAAACTGGAGTTGGGAGAACAGCTCCTGGAATCAGCAACATCGACAACGAAAATGTTAATGAAACATAGCGAATGTTTAAATTAATTTTCAGGAACTAGATAGTCGAGTAATAATATTTGTACTTTTGGGGGTTGAAAGAGACTCGAGTCTCGCTTTTCAAGTGTAAAACTTCTGATCGTTAATTCCTGTTTCTTTATATTTTTTTTTATAAATAAGTAAATCCTGCATTCTAAATATTACGTTTTTAAGCAGATATTTAAATTGCAGTAGATTTAAATTATAAACTTTGATTATAATAGATCTTAAAAGTAGGAAGGTAAATTGTAAATATATTTTTAATAGAAATTATAATCATAATTAGATGTAAATATAATAATAATATAATATAGATATAAATATATACATATTAAAATAATTAGATATAAATATATATATAAAACCTAATAATAATAGATTTTTAAATACTAATTTTAATGAAGTACGAACTTTTAGTCATAATCGATTATTTAACAAAAATTTAAATTACAATAAATTTTAAATAGAGATTTAATTGTAATGGACTTTTAAATAGAAATTTCAATTATAATATATCTTGAATAAAAATTTCAACTGTAACATTTTAAACAAAATTTTATTTGCAATAGTGTTCCGATAAAATTTTAACGCATAAGCCGAACATTTCCAAGATTTTGACACGCGGCGGCGTTCTTCGAGGTTAAATTTCAGGATTCGTCTGTATTATGATTTTAAAGTGGTATAAATAAGAAATTAATTTTTCTGTCATAACAATCTATTCCGACTTGAAATTTCATGTATTTTAAACGTCTGGAGATATGCTTTCGAACGAGGTATATTTGAACAATGATCGTTTCTGGTGGAAAAATTCCCAGGCGCGACAGCCGGATGTATTGTGTACAGAATACGATATGAACAATGGCGAGGTGTTTCCACGTATTAGAACTGTTTAAATATTCCCCTTTTTTTTGTACATAGACCCGGTGGTTTCACATGGATCGTCGCGCGAAGCGATATTTTTTAAATAATCGCGACGTACGGAAAAAGTTGAATATAATGTGTATTAATTGTATGCGACTTTAGATCCGCGCGGATAAACAAAAATTATGTATACTGAGAAGAATATATAAGCCTAAGCGCGATTAATATTATTTCCGCTTAATATTATTATTTAATTATTATTTAATATTATTATTGAATTATTATTAATATTATTTAATATTATTATTTATTCCGTTTAATTTATTATTTCCGATTAATATTATTAATATTATAAAATAGATTTTTTTACGGTGTCACAATCCTATAAGTCCTGCTTTGTTAAAAGCAACCACCTTTTGCTATAAATTTTATAATAATATTATAATAAATTTTTAAATAATTTAAAAGTTGAATTAAAATTTTATAATAATTTTATAATAAATTTACTGCTATAAATTTTGCTTTCTGTCGCTTATTTTGCAATATTTCTGTATCATAAAAATGTAGCATAGATATAATGCTGCTGTTTCATGCATACAGTGGAACAAAAAAGTACTGCAACAGAAAACAAACAAGCTCGTAGAAAAAGGAACAAAAAATGTTTGTAAGTTTTAGTGCTTCATTTACCTCCATCGCGTTTGTACCTAACTAAGAAAGGTGTTGCGTTATGAAAGAAGAATTGGCATGCTGGCGATTTGAATAATAGTTGTATATTTACAAGTATTATATTAGGAGGGAAACAACTGAACTCGGTGTTCTCACGTTACATTCTAGCAAAAATGTTACGCTAGCAAAAATGCGCTCTCACCGCAATAATAGGACTACTTATGTACTTTCTTATGGTAAATTCATCTATAAATGTTAATTTTGTAAATCTCAACTGCGTTTCCTAATTGATGCTTAGATTATGCGCAAGTAAGGACAATTTGGGGAGAGGAGATACGATTATTCGGCTCATTTTTATAGTTGTTGACGATCGGTATATAAAATTATATACTATATGTTATATACTGTATACTATATACTATATACTATATATTACAAAAACGAACCGCAAAGCTCGAATAATCGTATCTCCACTTTTTAAATTCTTCATCTTTTTTTGAAGCAATCTGAGCGTTAATTAGGGGGAATTTACTGTACTTGCTATTAATAAGCGACGTAATCTTGTTCATCGTATCTATGCATTAGTTGCGTAAAATAATATATCCCAATTAGTCAGTTCCTAGAAGAGTCAGAAAGTAGCTACACCTTAATAAAGAGAATAGAGAAACAGTTAATTTGTACAACTAAATATAAATTTATTTGTATAATAAATATGAAATATATTTGCATAATGGTATATTATATATAAATTCATATATTTATATTATAATTGTATACTACATATAAATTTATATATTTACATTGTAATTGTATGTTATATATAAATTTGTGTATTTATATTGTAATTGTATATTATATATAAATTAACTAGTAAACTCGAACACTAACATCTAAAAAACAATTCAAGTCATTTAGTTGAATTTTAAAAAAGTTATTACGTCTTAAAAGATGTAGAACACTTTTGTGGGCCACTGTATACAGGGTGTCCCAAAATTATAGTACTTGAGGGAAACGAGGGGTATCTGAGATCATTTGAAGTAACTTTTTCCTCAGCGAAATTGCAAACCGCGGCTTCGTTTACGAGTTATTAACGAAAAACAGCGACCAACGAGAGACGAGCTCGGCTGGCGCGCGCGGCGGCCAAGCCAACGAGCGCGCGACGCCCAGTTCCGCTTATTGGCTCGGCCGCAGCGCGCCAAGCGAGCTCGTCTCTCATTGGTCAGCATTTTTTCGTTAATAACTCGTGAACGAAGCCTCGTAGAAAATTTTTGTAAAGGAAAAAGTTGCTTCGAATCACCTCAGGAATCCCTCATTTCTCGGAGATACCATAATTTTCGGACACTCTGTATATCGAATGAATACAACGCAAGATACGAGCAACAAAGCCCAAAATCCAAATTAGTCCATCGTGAACCTACGCGTCCGGACCGTATCAACTGCGAAAGGAAACTCATAACGCCCACGCACTCTCAATTTCCCATTACATAAACGTATGCAAATCCGGCGTATGTAAATCGGATCGGCGACCCGAACGAAATCCCCCTCGTTTAGTCATAGCGAGAAGCCGACGCCCCGTTTCTTTTCCCTTAATCAGCATATCGCCGCGCCATGAATGAAACGAGCGGCCGCGAACCATTTCGAAACCACCACAGTCGGGAATTTTGAAACTCGAGAGCCGTTAGATTTACAATCCTGATAACTAGGGGCCCGTTGTTTCTAAGACAAGTGCTAATTTTAGAATTGGATTTTGAAAGAAATTTCTTTTCTGAAAAGAAATTAGTAATAAGCATTAGTAGTAATATTACATGGTAATTATTGCATTAGTAATAATATTACATAGTAATTATTACAGTAATTATTACATTAGTAACAATATTACACAGTAATTATTACATTAGTAATAATATCATATAGTAATTATTACATTAATATTGTAATTTATAATAATTTATAATATTGCAAAAATAATAGTAATGAATACCACCATTATTTATTACCTAGTTTCCAGTTTCTACACCAACACTTCCATAAATTTTGATACTATAAAAAAAAGCACGGAGAATGTTACAGACCACAATCACAATTTATTAGTACATGTAACAACTGGAGATATATTTATACGTATATACGTATTTATTGCATCGTAAAAAATTCGCTAGAATTTATAGTACATCGAGTCTGTCTCCTTTATATTACAGGAATATTTCAATCGAAACTAAATTTCTCCCATGTTTACGATCTTTACGCGAGAACCGATGAAAATTCGAGTTTATGGTAAAAACCGTGATTTAAACGTTGTTACACGGTGAAATTCAGGAATACTTCGAACTATAATTTATCCTGTTTTACATCGTAGAAAACCCGCTAAGTAAATGTGAAACCGCAACGAGGAAATTTCTACGGATTTCCGTGGAATACGTTCTCCGTCGACGATTGTGCAAAAATATTCCTGCGGATAAGTCGCGATTCGCGCGGGCTAAACGAGTTCGTTTCGTAACTGATCCATCGAGAGCTTGGTGGGCAACGGTCGCACGTAGAAAATCAACAGGTACGAATGTTGCTTCGGGATGATTGCTCAACGCAACGACAACGTTTCGTTAGAAAGACTGGAAAAAAGTTAACGAAGAAAAAACGTGCCCCCGGAAACTGTTTCAGAATTATGTTAATTTGATCGTGACATTTTCTAAAATACCTTGCATAAACGTTAATAACAATAATTATGTATATTATATAATTTTGTATATTCAGCAATAATTCTATGTATTCAGCGATAGTAGAAACAATATTAGACTACATTGTATATTATATTTATACAGAGTGTCCAAAATGAGGATTGAGGGATTCCTGAGGTGATTTGAAGCAACTTTTTCCTTTACAAAAATTTTCTCCGAGGCACCGTTAACGAGTTATTAACGAAAAACACAGACCAACGAGAGAGCGAGGGCAGCTGGCGCTCCGCCCAATGCCGCGTCGCGCCGGCCTCTGACGCAGCGGCAGTGGCCGCGCGAGTGGGACGTCAGCTGCGCGTGGTCTCTCATTGGTCAGCGTTTTTCGTTAATAACTCGCAAACGAAGCCTCGTAGAGCATTTTCGCTGAGGAAAAAGTTGCTTCAAATGATCTCAGGAATCCCTCATTCTCCGGAAATAATTATGCGAGCTAAATTATACGTTTTACGGAAAACCTTGTCACACATTTTATTGTTAAATTACAAAAGCAAATGACGCCGTATAAACTGTTGGATTGAACAATTTCTAAAATAATTTTAAAGAACGGAATGCACGACGCGGAAGAAATACCGAATTTCTAATCTCGTTCTCGGCAACAGAAAGTCCGGCGCGATCGCGGGCGCAAAGAACCGCGAACGGTCGAGTGAAATGGCTCGATGAAAGTTGTTCGATCGGTGTCCGTATCCAGCGCCCGAGACTGGCAACAATGGTAACGATAGGCAGCGGCGTGGTGTCGCCGTCGCGGCGATAGCAAAGCCGAACGTCCGCGCGCATCGAGAAGGATGTCGCACCTGTTCGAAGCAGGTTATATAGCTAGCTCGGCATCGGGAAAAACCAGACGGCTCGCAGAAAGAGCCATTGCTACGTGAGCGAAATCGATGAATGAAAGTGTTCCGCTACAATTTACTCGATCGCGGAACGCGCACGAGAATTTGTTGATTTTAGAAAAAGAGTGCCTAAATTTACAAATAATTAGGAAGTAATTAACTGAAAAACTATTGACTAAGTGACTAACAAAATGGGTCCTAATTTTTTAGAAAAATGAATTGAACTATTTACTGTGATCAGATAAATATTGATTATTTATAAATATTATTACTATTATTATTATTATTACTAAATATTATTATTAGTCAATATTATTATTACTCGATATTATTATTAGTCAATATTATTATTAGTCAATATTATTATTACTCGATATTATTATTACTCAATATTATTATTACTCAATATTATTATAATAATATTTCAAGGGAAAAATTTTTTCCTCAAGAAAGTTTTCCAAGGTCACGTACGAAATAGTATCTATTATACTACATTTAGATACACTTCTTCAGAAAACGATTTCCAACTCCGTCGGTTGCCCTCTCGTTAATTACATTTTCATTATTTCACCAGGAGTAGAACTCACGGCAGCAATTGTAGCTAATTTTTAAAAGACACTGGAACATTAGCCGGCGACTGGAGAAGACCAGATAAGATCTTTAGAGGACAGAAAATCCACGGAGCGGCCGTAAGCAAGAAATATGCACTAATGACATTTTAAAGAGAGCCATGTGCGCTGCTCTAAGTGCCCTCGCACATGGCTCCGCGCATCTTAATTTTTATCTTGGCTAGCTCATGCGATCTCGGGAATGTCTACGACTGATCAGGAAAAAAGGGGGACCAATTTTGCGGGGAACCAATGAGACGCGACTAAGAGTTTACAAAAGTTGAAAGTAGACTAATTATTGTATGCAGACGAAATAAATTTATATAAATAAAATTTATATAGATAAATAAATGGAAACATAAATTAATAAATATATAAATTAATATATAAATTTATATAAATAAATAAATATATAAATTTATATAAATACGCGATTCAAACTAAAAACGGCGAGAGAGAGAGAGAGAGAGTTATTTATTATTATAGAGTTATATATTATATAATAATAATAATTATATATATTTATTATATATATAATAATTATATTATTAATAATAATAATAATTATTATTATTATATATAATTATAATTCGCCATTAGAATTATGGAACAGTTTCCTCGGTGAAAGTTACAGAAGAAGATTTCCCGGTGAATCAATATTCGGCGAAAGCAAGAAAGTCCGCCTAAAACGGGAAGAAATAAAGATTCGTGGAAATATCGATTACACAATTCGGCATACTTTCCGCAGATCGTTCAACTCGATATTGGACGGCGTGTCCTCCCGCTCCATGCCGCTATCCTCCTCCTCCTCTTCATCCTCCGCCGTCTTAGCGGTGACTTCTTCAACTTCGACCTTTGCCACCTCGTCCTTTTTCTCTCGCTCGAGCGGCGTCGGTGTCGCCGACATGTCCTGCCGGACTTTTATCCACTTCAACATTTTCCCCCGCGACTTATCGGCACTCCGCGCAACAAATCGCTCCTGGAAGACTCATTGTAACTCTGCCGAACGATTTCCGGTCCCGGGAAGCTGATCGCGTTACCAATAAACCGACGCGGAAACGGCTTCGCCGCCGCGTTGTTCCCGAAATCCGCGAAATTCGAACACCGCCGGCCTCTTAACTTCGACGACGAGACTTCGCTCGGTGATCGCCGCGATTAGGGCAACGTTCAAGGAGACCGACATGTCTCCTTTTCCATCTGGCACCGAGCAAACACGAACTCTCGCGCCGAGAGAGTTCCGTTCGGCGAGGAGCGTTATCTGCTTTCGTTCCACGATCGGTACACCTTTGCTGCACTTGCCGCGGTGATGCGCCTTTTGATCGGGTTCTGGGAACCTTCGGCTCCCTTTTGGTTCCCTTTCGATCCCCTTTTGGTCTCCTTTCGCGACGGCAGCGGCGTTCGCTTTCCTACGTTCTCCGAAACTGTCGCCGAAACACCGCTTTTACCAAGCGAATATTATTTCTATTTCGAATCGGCAGCGACTGATAGACGCAAGGGGCACTTCAGAAGCCTGCAATCGGTTTTTTTTTAATTATCGTGGCACTCGCGACGAGGCAGGAAGGAAGAGGCGGCGCCGCGATCGATGGGAAACAGGTGGCCGGGCGTTCAAAGGGCCCGCGGGGCGGCAGATCCGTCGCGAATACTACAGGAAGAATCGCGTGCCGGATGTGCCAGGAGAAAACCCGTTGCCAGACGAGTTGTAGACTCGATTAAAAAGCATAAACTCGTTTGGCGAGCGAAGTCACTTCGATCTAAGCGCGCGCCGCGCGTCGGCTTTTCGTTCCGCTTCTCTTCGCGATCGCGGCGAAAACTGTTTCCCCTCGAACAATTTCGTCCACGATGATGATATTAATATTCCTCGCGCTCTAAACAACAGAATCGGCGGCAATTATACGGTCCGGCAGGGTCGAGAAACGCGAGGATCGCTCGAGGAACGAAGCGTGACCAAGAAATTCCGCTTCCTGGACGACGATGAATCCTTTCCGCCGCGCGTTAACGACTCGCTGCATCTTTCGGCCGAGTCGTTCCACTTCGGCGTGCCACGTGCTTCGTTGGCACAGTTTTTCTGCCTCGAATTCACGGCGACACCGGCTGCACGGCGCGAAATTCGCGGGGCTTCCTCTTCGGCCGAGCCGCACTTCCTCGACCGATGCGCGGCGGATTCGGTTCCTGGGACCTCTACGAACCCGTTTCACCGCGTGCTCGAGGACGGTCAAATCACTGGAACGTTTCTCGTGACAGCTGCGATGCGAGATTTCGTCGAAAATTGCTCCGTGATCGCAGCTGGATCGAAAAACACGTGGTCGATCTCTTGATCACAGGCGAGAGACTGCTCGCGGCGTCGACGATTCGCTTCGACGATGATCATAGAAGAGACAGGATGATCGTAGATGAGTTCTGATTTCCTCGAGAATTTCCTCGAGAATTTCTTCAACTAATTCCGAAGCACTGGTATTTCTTTCGCGCTCCGTTCTTTCGCGATTCGCGGCGCAACCGCGCGCTTGTCGGCCGGATAACTCGCGTTAAATCACTGCGCGCTTCGGTTATCCGCGATCGACTCGCGGCTCGAACGCTGGCGAACCGTTCGACGTGTCCTGAGGATAGGTCCAGGTCGGTTTCCGCGGCGAAAAGTTTCTCGGTCGTGCCGAGAAACGTGGAGAATGAGCACGGGACTACCTGCACGCGGCACCGTACGCTCGTACCTGAAAGCAACGGCTCCGCGCGGTGCTGGAGAACGCCCCCCACCCTTCCCGAGATCGAGCCTTCCTCTTCTTTCGTTCCGCGGGGCCGTACGCCGGTCCCCTTCCCCCACCGCCGCCCGCTACGAGGCCCAGCGTAGACTCGAGAAGCCGATGACGTCACCCGGTTAGCTGTCCTACGTTCACCAACCTGGCCAGCAGCTCGGTACAACCATACCCTTTGGGCTCTACGGCGACCTCTTTTCTAGCTCGTTATCGTTTTAGGAAAATGCTTCACTCGACCACGGTCGAAAAGGCGATGTTTTGGATATTTTATTTTATTTTTATTCTTTCTGCGATTGTAATAATGTATAATGGGAATCGGTGAATTAGTTTTAATCGAGATATCTTGCGAAATACTGCAACAACAATATTTTTTTTATTATCTTTATTTCTTCAGAGAGTTTTAATTAAGTTCGAGAGTTCTATTTTATTTTTATTCTTTCTGCGATTGTTTCAGGGCTAAAGGAGGAATAATTAATTATATACTGTTATTGATATTACTGTTATTAATATTACTATTATTAATTATATATTATTATTAATATTACTATTAATTATATATTACAATAATCAATAAAACAAATTAGTAACGATTAGTAATCTAGATCACATACAGTGATTTAGATTATCAATTAAACTCTCTTGGAAATATTGTGTGACACATTCGAATTTTATGTTTTCTTGTTAATCAAAGAATCGAATTTTTAACAATATTTTCGTTAGATTCAAACGTTCGGATTTCCATATAAAATGTCCTTCCTAAGTTAAAAACGTTTATTTAATATTTAATGCTCGTATTTTATATATTATTTTATTGATTACGCTCGTATTATATTTCGTTTTATTTAATGCTCGTATATTCATCTTTTATTTCAATTATTCGACTGTTTGGTAGTATAATATTATGCATATGTATGCTGTCCCTAAATTGATGACTTGTATTGACTGTCCGCTCAAAAACCGGAAACACGCTTTGGAAAGGGTGGGTGCAGGTGCAGCTGCATACGAATTAGGGTATGGTGTCTATGGTGTGGCAGAGGATAGAATTGGCAGTAGAAAAATTTGAATGCTGCTTATGATTATTAAACACATGCTAAATCAGAAATTTCTTCGTCTTTTTTTCATATAATGGATGTAACTTTGTTTCGATGGACATAATTTACATATTTATTTAACGAAAAAAAGTAGAATAAAATTTATTTTAGTGCGACGGAGAGAGAGAGAGAGAGAGAGAGAAACATTACACAGTAAATATTAATATTAAATTAAAAATTTAAATATTAATAATATGAATATTAATAATTTGAATATTAATAATTTGAATATTAATAATTTGAATATTAAAAATTGATATTCAAGGAATTATTGGGAGAAATAAATTGCGTTTAAAAAAAGAAGCAAGCAATTGTATACTTCAAAGAAAGTGCAGACACTGTAAACATTACCTTAAACAAATTATAATAAAAATTGAATAAATTCATTGTAACGAAATTTTAATCAATAAATGTAAATAAATTACAAGTTACATTGTAAGAGCTAGATTAGTAAGAAAATATTCTTCTTCGAACAAGAAAACTAGTTAACATTGTATACCAATAAATTACCAATCACATATCGCGATTACTGAACACAAACCCCGATAAATCAAATGCATTAATATCGCGGTTATTATTAATGAAATAAAATGTACACCACAAACTGTAGCCTTTAAGTTCGTACGTCCCTGAGGGCCGCCGCCGTTTCCCTCGTAGAGCTGCAGGAGTCACGAGGAACGGTTTTGTGTGGTCATGAAAATGTACGTGAATCGTACGAGAATATGGGAGAGACCCGTATTACGAGGACTGGGACAAAGCCGGTTCTACGTTCTACATGTCCAGCCTGGCGTACACGATACCATTGGGGCTTGTGTGTCACCAACACGCACACGCGCGCGCGCGCGCACGCACACACACACACACACACACACACACACACACACACACACACGCACAAACACACAGATAGAGAGAGAAAGAAAGAGAGAGGGAGGGAGAGAGAGAGAGAGAGAGGGAGAGAGAAAAAGAGAGTGAGAAGGAGAGAGAAAAAAAGAGTGAGAGGGAGAGAGAGAGAGAATACCGAGCCTACGAAAGAGAGGGAGAGAGAGGAAAAGAGAAAAAGAGAGTGAGAGGGAGAGAGAGAGAATACCGAGCCTACGAAAGAGAAGGAGAGAGAGAGAGAGTACCGAGCCTATGACAGAGAGAGAGAGAGAGAGGGGGGGGAGAGATCATAC